TAAATACGAATATTCCTCAAAAAATACTTTCCCTCTCTCGGGTAAGCCATAAAAAGTATTATGAATTTAGTTTTTGAATGCAATATACATACTATATTATATATTAATTATAATTTACAATACCGTATAATGCTCATTTAAAAAATAGAGCGGTTAAGAAAGGGGAACCTCCGTGTATAGTTATAATATCGGATCGGTTAGAATGGCACGTACGCCTAGGTTCTGGTTGTGAAACAGTTCTTCACGGATAAGGACTATAAACCGTAGGTCCAGTTTAATTACCTTCGAGACGAGTAGGGGGTTTAGCCCCTACTGAAGAATGTCGCTGGTACCGGTTTACCGGGTAGTTCGGACACCTAGAGACCCTTAGGGGAGAAGCAAGTTACATAGAGTAAGAGCCGTCCACACCTTGAGTGCTTTGAGACCATTTCAGTGTGAATCGCTTTATATAAATCTATTTATTAAATGTTCACATCAATCATCGTAGAAGCTACAAAGCCTTAAAATATGTTGGCTATTTTAAAATAAGTTGTCTATTTTGTCATTTTTACCGGGTCATTTCGCAACAAAAATGAGCAAATTGGTGGCGATTACTTGAAGCTACAGTAACCAATCACATGAGCCCTAAAAGAAAGGACACTACCCTGCCAATATGCCAGGATTAGCAGGCTGGAGCCACAGAGTAGAGACCAGCCTACACTAGGGCCTACGTATGTAACATTTTAATGTTCAATTGCAAGTTGGATAGCGCCAGACCTGACGGGGCAGTATAGGCACCTACATATTTATAACTCTAATCCTCAACCCTACTACTTATGCAGACTGGGGTTAGGCCTAACTTGAGCCTCATACCAAGGCCTAGAACACACATACGAAAGGAAACAATAATGCCGACTTGACATATACTGGACGCTAAAACTAACGTTGAGAAAATTTATCGTAATCGACAATAAAAGTTTCGTTTTGTTTATTATGGTATTATCTCAGTTCCTTAATACTGCGTTCAAGAGAAATACTTTAACATATCTGTCACGGTTAACGTGTACTCAGGAATCTAAGAAGCAATATTTTTCAGTGGGCGTGGCCACCGAAAATAAATTCCACGCCCCCTCATATTTTGGTCGCGCCCCCCATCTCCCAT